TACAGTTACATAGTAATATGCTGTTTCCTTATATGAAGTGGCAGAATCAAAGTTTGGTTTTTGGTTTTTGTTTTCCTATTTTCAAGTTATGGATGGTTGAATCCATGCATACAGAGGCCAGACTATATTGGCATTTTTTTCTGTTAGTATCAAAATCAATAGAAACTTTTAATGTCCTCAGCCAGAATCAACTAAACTATCTCAAAGTGCTCACGTTTTAGGAAGGCATCCAATTCTTTATGCTTTTGTGACCTGGGTCCCATTGTTATAAGCTGCTCCTATGAAAATGAGTAAGCTCCATCTGTTTGAAAGAGGTCTGGTTTTGGGGAGTATAATAAACCAAAGGCATGCAGACAGACCATGGCATGGTTGGCCTGGTCTTGGCCTATTTTATGCCCTTCCAGTGGTGTATTGTGTGATGTTGTTTGTGATGGTCTGCTCTCAGTGTAAAATCAACAGTGCTGAGTGGCAAGCAAGAAGTGGTAACAGTAAAGTATGGAGATATACTCCATGCAAAAATGGGGAGGCTTCATTCAAATCTGTAGATTGCCTTGCCTTGTGCATCAGAAGGTTGCATAACCCAAAAAGCCTGTATATCTTTATTCAAGAACCCAAGTACATATTTTTATTCATAAAATTGAAAGCAAGATATTGTAAAAGGTTATCCTCTTTCATGTGGTGCAGTTCCACCATTAACATGAAGTTGTTACAAGATGCCTTTTACTTAAAAGCTCCTTTATAAACTGCTCTCTGAGTGATTATATCTTATATTTCCCAAGTTAGAGTAACTCAAAGTATTGTGGGAAAATGATTTACTACAAGAAAAGGAAAAAAAAATCTCGTCTAAAATAAAAAAAGAAAATTGAGATAATTGATCTAACGATGAAATATGAAAAAGTTTGAAAAACAGGAAGGCTTATCTAAAAAATTAATATCCCAATTCATTATTACTTGTGGATTATCCTGCATTATAGCACCCATTATTGGTCACAGTTTTAATACTTCTCAGCTAAATAGCAAGCCTCGATGAAGCAATGGATGGCACAGTTAGTCCTTGTGCCGACTGAACTGCTGACCTGAAGGTCGGTGGTTCGAATCCGTGAGATGGGGTGAGCTCCCATCTGGCAGCTCCAGCTTCCCAGGCGAAGACGTGAGAGAAGCCTCCCACAGGATAACAACACATCCTCACATCCCCTGGGCAGTCTTTGCAGACAGCCAGTTCTCTCACACCAGAAGCCACTTGCAGTTTCTCAAGTCACTTCTGACACGATAAAAAAAAAGCTAAATAGCAAAATGTTCATTTTCTCTTGTCAAAGCAGATTCTATCTATATATTTGTACTCATTACAATGCTATTAACATGTTGAGTTGATTGCTTACAATTATGTGAGAAATGGGCTTAATAATACACTCTAGATTTTGTCATCTGTTATAACTGTTAGACAAATTTCTGCAGAGAATAGTTTTCACCAATAATTTGGAGGCAATAAGGTTGTTATTGATTTATTATTTTTTTTGGATTGGAACAAAATGAAACAAAGACTCTGTGAAGAATTGATCTGCCATCACTATCATCTTCTTGCCATTTTCTTGTCATGCTAACCAAGAATAATTGCAGAAGGACATAATGAATACTGTGAAATTACGGCTTGCTCCTGATTGTAGCAATGACAGGCTCAGTAATGAACATGTCCACTTCCTCAAAGCTGGCAGCATCTCCTATGACAAAGAGGGCATTTAAAGAGAACAATATGATTGCGTATTTAGAAATACATTTCACTGAAGATTGAGAAAAGTTTTTTTTTCTAATTTTAATCCTTAGCTCCAGGTGGTTTATAGTTCCTCCCATCTAGATATTTATAGTGTAATACGCTGCTCTCTTAGATACTGATTACAGGCGTAAAAACAGCTGCCAAAATATTTGATTGTATTTCAATAACAATGGTATAGCTTCAGATTTTTCTATAATATTTACTATTGTAGTATACAGTTATATCTCATTTAATATAACTTCTTAATTGAAAAGTTGGTACCAGAACAGAAATAACAGGAGAAAAAAAGATAGTTTCCTTCATCACAGCAAAAGAAGAGTTGTTCAACATGTTTCAGCAAACCTTTTCTTCATAACTAACAGTGATTTTTTTTAAATTTATTTTTATTGGTGAATGACATAGACAAAACATAAATATAGACGGATGTTGACAGTACAATGAGAAATATATATCCATATATATAACCCATACACATATATATCTATGTATATACACACCTATACACCCACAAAGGGAAAAAAGGAGATTTTTTTTCATGTCAGGAGTGACTTGAGAAACTGCAAGTCACTTCTCATGTGGGAGAATTGGCCGTCTTTAGGAGGCTTTCTTCATGTCCCCACATGAGAAGCTGGACAGACAGGAGCTCACCCCATTCCCCGGATTCGAACCGCCAACCTTCCTGTCAATATGGGTTTAACCCATTGTGCCACCGGGGGGGGGGGGGGGGAGAGGGGCTCCTGTGAAGTGAAATAACCAGCAAAACACTTTAAGAGACCACTTGAAAGTTATTTCCAAAATGCACCCAGGGATGCCTTTTTCTTTGAACAACCTCCACCTCTTTTATAATTTCCATTTTAGTGGCTGCATTTACAGTGCTATGCTTTTCTAACACCTTGGATATAGCTGGAGAGACAGGTTATATACTCTCCTCTCTTCTCTCTGTTTTACTCTTCAGATATCCTCATGGAATCTGAATCAAGCTGTTTTTGACAGTGCGTGTAGATACAGTTGAATCCTGATCTTTGGCAGGCCAAGCTTTATTGCATTGTTTACTGCAAATCACACTGCTTTGGCTTGATACCGAGAGTCCAGTCTTCCTTCATCATTTGCACAGTGCTGATGCTGCTTTTAAAAACCTACAGTTAGACAAAGGACAAAGAGGAAATGGGAGTTCTGGGTGAACAGAAAAAGCCTTTGTGAAAAGGAGATTCTTTATCAGATGCTTTATTAACCATGGTGTGCCTGTAATGTTGAAAATGGAGCTGCTTCTTAAAGTCAAATAATTAGTTTTGTAGTACTTGTCCAAAATAAAATTTTACCTATAGCTCCAAAAGCTTCAGTTGCACCCTTTGAGCTTGGGATGCAAGAATATTATTTATTTTTATATAGCCGACTTAATGTATCTACCAGTTAGGTTCTTGTGGGTTTTTTCGGGCTATAGAGCCATGTTCTAGAGGCATTTCTCCTGACGTTTCGCCTGCATCTATGGCAAGCATCCTCAGAGGTTGTGAGGTCTGTTGGAAGTAGGAAAATGGGTTTATATATCTGTGGAATGGCTGGGGTGGGGCAAGGAGCTCTTCCCTGCTGCAGTTAGGTGTGAATGTTTAGCTGATCACCTTCATTAGCATTTGAAGGCCTGCCTGAGTCTGGGAAAATCTGTTGCTGGGAGGTGTTAATCTGTGCCTGGTTTTTTCCTCTGTTGTTTAGCTGTTATAATTTTAGAGTTTTTTAATACTGGTAGCCAGATTTTGTTCATTTTCATGGTCTCTTCCTTTCTGTTGAAATTGTCCACATGCTTGTGGATTTCAATGGCTTCTCTGTGTAGTCTGACATGGTGGGTGTTGGTGTGGTCCAGCATTTCTGTGTTCTCAAATAATATGCTGTGTCCAGGCTTGTTCATCAGGTGCTCTGCTATGGCTGACTTCTCTGGTTGAAGTAGTCTGCAGTGCCTTTCATGTTCCTTGATGCGTGTCTGGGCGCTGCGTTTGGTGGTCCCTATGTAGACTTGTCCACAGCTGCATGGTATACGGTAGACTCCTGCAGAGGTGAGAGGATCCCTCTTGTCCTTTGCTGAACGTAGCATTTGTTGGATTTTCTTGGTGGGTTTGTAGATTGTTTGTATGTTGTGTTTCCTCATCAGCTTCCCTATGCGGATCAGTGGTTCCCTTGATGTATGGCAGGAACACTTTTCCTCTGGGTGGATCTTCATCTTTACTCTCGTGGCTTGTTCTTGGTCTTTTCTACCAGTTAGTTTCTGCCCACTTGAAACACTGCTCATTGCTCTTCTTTCTCTTTCCTTTGCCTAATGTGTGACTATCCAAGTTAGGAATGTTTTGATACTTGTACCTAGATTTAATGTTTGAATGTTTAAATTTTATGTATGTCTTATGTTTAATGATTTTAATTGAATTTAAATTCATAGTTATGTGTAGTAATTAGTTATTATGATTTCTTTGTGTACTGTATGTTGACATTGATTTTTTGCCATTAGTATGATGTAAACCACCTTGAATCCCCCCAGGGGTGAGAAAAGTAGTATATAAATACATTAAAGAAAAAATACATAGATTTTAAAAATTCCATCGGTAGGAGTTATGTTTCTCATTTTACCATCTGGATAAATTAGACCACAGTTTTCACTAGATTTAGTGACTGCTGGGGATGATTGGAATTACATTTCAAACACATCTAAAGGATATCAGGTTCAGGAAAACAGCTATATCATTACTTTAGAAAAAGGGACAAGTAAAATAATTTCAGTTCCAACTAAATGATGGTTAATTTCTGTTTTGTAAAATATTGCTGTTTTTACTGTATTTGGGTTTTTCTGCATTGTTTTGCATTTTTTGTTGTTTAACTGTTGTTCTGGGATTCATAGTGTATATCTCTATGGGTTCAAAGGAGGGATATTAATCATCTACTTCTTAATTTGCCAGGAGAATAATTTCAAAACATGGCTCAGAAGTCTTATGTGCCGCCCTGAATTCTCCATTAGGAGAAAGATAGGGAAGACATTAAATATTATTTTGTAAAAAAAACCCCCCAAAAAACAGTATTTACATTACAATATAATAGTGACATTTACATTGAGAATATAGAAGCCTAGCTGCATGGTCTGAGAAAAACCCCAGAACAGTTTTAGCTATTGAAATATAATAAAAAGGACTGCATATAATGGTATTGGCTACATTAATGATTCATCTACTAAGCACATGTTTTTCTTCCACAGATGTGCACTGGCAACTATATATTTCTTCCATATATGATAACTCCTCATAATAAAGTATATTGCTGTGACAGCAGTTTTATGAAGGGATTAACTGAGCTGATGCAACCTAACTTTGAACTGTTACTTGGACCAATATGCCTCCCTTTGGTTGACCGATTTGTTCAGCTTTTGAAGGTGGCACAGGGCAGCTCAAGGTAATGTCTTCACATGTCTTCTGCTTTAGTTTTAGTAGGGCAAAATCTGTCAAAAAGAGGTAGAACTTACTTGCCTGTAGTTCTTATGAATGGTGAGATGTAGATAAATGAAGTGTAATGACATTGTACAGCAGTCCTGTTCAAAGTAGTAGTCCATGGTGCCCCATGTGTCATTGGCTTCTGGCCAAATTCTTGAGTCTGTGTCATCATATTTTCCTTAGCTAAAGCTATGAAAGAAGTGGTTCATAAACTTGGGTCTCCCCAAGGGACTTGTGCTCCCAGAACCCCTAACTATCATGGCCATTGGTGAGGGCTTCTGGAGATGCAGAGCATTGGAAGACCAAGCCAAGAGGACCTTAGTGTGGCTTGGCCAACTAGAGGCTACAATCCTATTCCATCTTCTTCAGAGATTCAAGAACTGGAGTATGAGAGAGGGAGACACTATTTCAACTCCTCCTGTTAACATAGCACCCATATTTGGAGGCCCCTCACATTTGACTCACTGCCTGTATCCTGTAGTCTCTGAATATTTTGAGTTCTTCTGAAGTTGAAAGGATGTTGTGCAACTTGGGGTTTCTTCCATTCATATACTATATATAAGCAGTGACTAAGCATTACATTGTACATATTTTTCCATGCAGACCCCCTATTTCTGATTCCAGTTTTAGTTTATGTTTGAGGTAGTAGTGGAATTTAAACCCTTCATTTGTACCTTACTGTAATAGCCAGATGATTTTTCAGTCTTACATTGAAGATTTATTTTCTGTTCTAGCCAGTACTTCAAAGAGTCAATTCTTAATGACATCAGAAAAGCACGTAACTTGTACACAGGAAAAGAACTAGCTGCAGAACTGGCAAGGATACGACAACGGGTGGATAATATTGAACTTCTATCTGCTGACATTGTGATCAACTTATTGTTATCTTACAGAGACATTCAGGTAAGAACCTGCTCATCTTAATTTAAAAACACTGCTTTTATTATCTCTATTTTACTTTGATAACATGATTAGTCTAATACAAGTGAGACCTGCAAACTAATATTGCTGGAATACTGTTCTTCACCATTCCAGTCAGTCTAGTTTATTGGGTTGTTGTGAGTTTTTCGGGCTGTATGGCCATGTTTCAGAAGCATTATCTCCTGACATTTTGCCTGCATCTATGGCAGGCATCCTCAGAGGTTGTGAGTCTAATTTATTCTCTTCCTCCTTGCCATTTTGCCTCCCTGGTAATTTACCATCCTTTTGCTTTCTAGAGATCCCCCAAAGGGTTTTATGGCACACTCAGTCACTACAGCAGCTTTGGTCACCAATTATTATGTTTGTTTATATACTGTTTTTTCTCTCCACAAGGTGGTGGTGGTGGTGGTGATAATAATAATAATAATAATAATAATAATAATAATAATAATAATAAATTTACAATCCCCTCTCTCTCCCTGAAGGGACTCAGGGACCAACATCTCCCTGAAAGCAATTTTTAGTGCAGACACATGGAAATATCCATCTATGCTCACCAGACATTATTAACATGACAGCTTAGCCAAAGCAGCCTTTGGAACTTGGTGGTCCTGCAACAAGTAGTTAAATCCTAGGCCAATAAAATGCCAGCACTTCCCCTCTAATCAGGGAATCTCTGGTAAATCCCAAACTACAAAAAGATCCTTCTATATATGCTGAAAAAAGGAATGTTGCTTATTACTTGTGAGAAGTCTGTTTCTCACAGATAAGGGGCTAACCTCTTGACCCACCCTAAGGGATGTTGGTATGCGAATGTATTAGAATGTATTTAGTTCTCTCCTTATCTTATTCCTGCCAATTTGGAGCAAATAGGGGTCCTTCCATACAGCCATATAACCCAGAATATCAAGGCAGAAGATCCCACAATATCTGCTTTGAGCTGGGTTAACTGAGTTCACACTGCCATATGTTCCGGTCCAAAGCAGAAAATGTGGGGTTTTATTCAGCTGTGTGAAAGGGGCCTCAGAAGAGCAAAACCCAGATTACAAGAGGTTTGTTCCTTATTTCTAGAAACAGCCCTATCACACGAAAGAACCAGTGTTCCTTTTAATGGCACTTACATCTCATTGCAGAGTGAAAGCACTCTACAGTCGCCAGATTTAATAACAGAACTAGATTACCATGGCAACTTCGTACATCTGTAGTTTGGAGTGTGGAGAAGAGTGGGTGCATAAGGGCTGCAATTCTGTGAGTGCCTCCCCCTCTCCACCTTCTTATATCATACACACTGGAGTACCCTCTTGAAGTGTAATAGCAAGGTTACACAAATTGTGTGAGATTCTGCTCATACATTGGAACTTTTGAATTTCCCCCCTTTTGATGTAGCACCCCACAACGTTGATCCAAACACTACTTTCAAAAGATGGACCCCCAGGACTGGTGTCTGATGCTAGACAACATAATGTGATCATATGAGGGGTTCCAGTGCATGTCCACTGGACCTGTGTGAATATATAGAGTATGATGGGGATATCATCTTATTCTTACACCTTCTGCAATTTCTTTTACCTTCCTGTTCGTGGCTGCAAGCTTCTTCTCAGGTGTTATTTAAGGGAAGAAGGTGATGCCACTTGAAGGTTGAACGTAGTTACCAAGTTGTGCCCATGCTTCTCACAATTACTTCAGGGAAGAATGATTTAATTTTTCATCCCCATATATTATTCTAGAACAGTGGTTCTCAACCTGTGGGTCCGCAGGTGTTTTGGCCTACAACTCCCAGAAATTCCAGCCAGTTTACCAGCTGTTAGGATTTCTGGAAGTTGAAGGCCAAAATTTCTGGGGACCTACAGGTTGAGAACCACTGTTTTAGAAGAAAACTATTTTATGAGTAGTCCCTGGAACCCCAAAGGCCTCAGACTGATCTTCCATCAGTACAAGGGAGTATTGACTCAGGACTCCCTTCTGTGCCATAGAGTTTCACTCAGATTTTAAATGTTGCAGTATATGATAATAGTGATCTAACTAAGATCAGTGCATATAGAAGAATCTTTCCACTCTTCTGGATGTAGAGCACTGTCTCCTATTCACATCATGAACATTATTGATGAACTTTGGGTTGACATGGATATGAGTTAGAGGCACATCATCATGCAGGCAATAGTCAGTGATGTGTTCGGAATGCAAACACATACACTACACATGCGCACAGTGGATAATATGTCTAATTGCAGTTATTTGTATTAAACTGAAATACTATTTTTGAGAAATAGTTATATACATTCTGATACCCAAAATGGAATCTTTTCCCTCACCTTCTTTAAATGCTATCTTAATTTGGAATGAGGATGCAGGACATTTGTATAGAAAGTCAATGGCTAAAAGGGATTGGATAAAAGTGGTAGGAACAGTGGAGTAGAAAGAGGAGGGATGAATGAATGTGAACTTTATGATTCTGGAACCATTCTGTGTGCAGTAATTGTATATCATTCTGCCACGCGATCATGAAAGTGGGAGCAAATCTTCTTTCTTTGACTATGTTCCTGTCTTCTGTCTCTTGGAAGGATTATGATTCCATTGTGAACCTGGTAGAGACATTAGAAAAACTTCCAACCTTTGACTTGGCTATGCATCTCCATGTGAAGTTTCATTATGCATTTGCACTGAACAGGTAAATACTTTTACTGCTAATGAAGTTACCATGCTTTATGTTAAATTCACCGTTCGTCACAGGTTTGCAGATTTTCTCAGAACTTAACAAGCAACTCACTTTTGCATCTATCCCACATCTTTTACTGTTTCTTTCACAGTGTACAAGATAGATTCAGCTTTTGCTCTGTCAGTATTTTACTTTTCGTTTTGCATATGATTAGGAAATCAGCTGATTAAAGAGAAAATGCGGAGAAGCAAATGTTGATGTGAGTGGTCCAGGGAACAAATAATTGTGCAAAGCACAAATCTAAAATCAGCATGGTTCTATCTGGATAAGATTGCACACACTTTGGGCTCTCATACCAGTTCTTCTTCTTCCAGATGGTGCAATAGGGCTCAAGCTATTCTTCAAGGACACAAAACAAAAGCCAACTAAGTGGCTTTTGGAAAGCATGTTCTTCCCCTTCTTTCCTAAAAACAAGATAAAAGAGCAAATGGTTTAAATTTGTTTCCTTGTATCCTTGAAAGTTTAGCTCTTTATTTAGGATGATAACAATAACAATAATAAATCAGTAATTGTTTTGCAATTTGTGACAATGATGGGGCTTTACTAAAGTATTAGTTTTTATCATTTGAAGACACTGCTAGCCCCAAATGCTTTGATAAAAAGCCATGTTTTCACCTGCCTTCGGAATACACCAGTATTAACTCTTATTGGGCATCTTTAAAGTCAACATGGGGCTTGTTCTGCTTAGCATTCATCCTGAAATAATGTGATATTCCCTAAACAGGAGGGAGGGAGCCAAACAGGAGAGAGGCCATGTGAGTTTAGTACAAAACAAACCCATTATGTCAAAGTGCCAGGTCTAATTGTGGGATTGTGCCATGTCTGAACCAAACAAAGTGGCAAATGCATAGTACATAGGTGAGAATACCAATGCTACAAAAACTAGTAATCTGTGGTTTATATTACCCTAACGTAATCAGTATCTTATAATGTGTTACTGAAATGACAAGATGTAAAATATCTTTTACATATTTTATTTTATTAAAATATTGTTTAATATCTACATGAAGCCGCTGGGAGAGATCATCCGGAGTTTCGGGGTATAGTGTCATCTGTACGCAGATGATGTCCAACTCTGTCACTCCTTCCCACCTGCTACTAAGGAGGCTGTCGAGGTCCTGAACCGGTGCCTGGCCGCTGTAATGGTCTGGATGAGGGCGAACAAATTGAAATTGAATCCAGACAAGACAGAGGTACTCCTGGTCAGTCGCAAGGCCGAACAGGGTATAGGGTTGCAGCCTGTGCTGGATGGGGTTGCACTCCCCTTGAAGGCGCAGGTTCGCAGCTTGGGTGTGATCCTGGATTCATCGCTGAGCCTGGAGCCCCAGGTCAGGGCGGTGACCAGGGGAGCATTTGCACAGCTTAGGCTCGTGCGCCAGCTGCGCCCGTACCTTGGGAAGTCTGACTTGGCCACGGTAGTCCACGCTCTGGTTACATCCCGTTTAGACTACTGCAACGCTCTCTACGTGGGGTTGCCTTTGAAGACGGCCCGGAAGCTCCAACTGGTCCAACGGGCGGCAGCCATGATACTAACAGGAGCGGGACGCAGGGAGCATACAACCCCCCTGCTGTACCAGCTCCACTGGCTGCCGATCTGCTACCGGGCTCAATTCAAGGTGCTGGCATTGGCCTATAAAGCCCTAAACGGTTCCGGCCCAAGATACCTAACTGACCGCCTCTCGGCCTATGAGCCCATGAGGACTTTGAGATCTTCCGGGGAGGCCCTGCTCTCGATCCGCCTGCGTCACAGGCACGGCTGGCAGGGACGAGAGATAGGGCCTTCTCGGTGGTGACTCCTCGGCTGTGGAACACCCTTCCCGTGGACATCAGGCTAGCTCCCTCCCTGTTGATATTCCGCAGGAAATTAAGGACCTGGCTGTTTAAGAAGGCATTTGGACAAGAAGTGCAATGATTGGTAATTTGGCCATAGGAATGGAACAACGGAAATGATACTGGATTGTGGGTTTGACGATGAGACGACACGGAATGGCTTTTGTAGTAATGTTGATGTTTTTGATGAGGATGTTTTTTGATAATGATGAATTGTGGATTATTTTACACTATGTCTTGTATTTTGCACCTGTTTTTCTATGTTGTACACCGCAGTGAGTCGCCCCTGGGCTGAGAATTGCGATATACAAGCGAAGTAAATAAATAAATAAATAAATAAATAAATAAATAAAATGGACTGTATTTTAAATGGATATTTGACCCATTGTAATTGTGTTAGATTACTCCCATCAGTAGATTTTCCAACCAAACAGCTGAGGACAGAGAAGAGGTAAAATATGATTAGGATAGCGGGGAAAAGTTAATTAATTCACGTATTCTTTTTTACATCCTTGGTTTTGCACATTAGCAGAAATGCACAATGGGAAACTGTACGTTTTGTCATTGCTTTGCCAGAGAAAAATGAAGTGGGCTATTCATGAAAGGGCACTTCAGATGTGTTTATTAATTTTTTTATTTTTATTTTGCATACACAGCTCTTTTGCCCAACAGTTTATGGAAAACCAAAAGTAGATTTTCATATGTGATAACTGTATGTATTATTTCATCACATATGCACATGTTATACACCTAGCATAATAGAGACACGTGTTAAAGTTTGAATGCTATTTTTGGTCTATATTTAAGGATGGCAGCTGAAACAATTCTGCATTCCAGAAAAATTTGTATAAAAGCGAGGTCAGCCAAAGGATGCAGAGGAGACTGTGTGGTTCTTTGTTGGGCACATGGAATGCAAAGCCTTTTTCAAAAATGGGTCAGTTTCATGGAAGAGAATTCATTCTTTTATTAACAAATCAAGAAGTGGTTTCAATTTTCAAGTTTCTTGTCAGATACAAATGAGAAAAGCAGTGTTAGCTCTTGAAAAGCCACAACAGTTATGAGGTTAGAATATGAGATACATTACATTTATTATTGGTTTCCTCTTGCTTCAGCTCATGGCATTCAGATACTTAGGAGCAGTCATACTGCAAACTGAGAACTATTTTCTAATGTCTTAGTATAGAGCTTTCCAAACATTTTGTGTTGTGACGGACTTTTTAGACATGCATCATTTTACAACACAGTAATTCAGTTTTACTAGCAAACTGGAAGTTCAGCTTCAATGCCTTATAAGAGATACGGACACATGCATAAATTATAATAATGAAATGAATGGGGACACAACACATCTCATGAAAACCTTTCATTTTTATTTTTAAAAATATATGGTTTGTAAGATAATAACATATATTTCCAAGATTGTTGTCATTTTCTGTCAGCTGACACACTAACATGTTGTGACACATAGTTTGGAAAGTTCTGTATTAGTGTAATCTGAAAGGATGCATTAAAACATATTGGAATTCCTGCAGCATTATTTTCTAGATGTAATGTGCATGTGACCGAGAGACTGAGAAAGAGAATTGAATGAGGTATTGCTTTGTCTGCATTTTTACTGGCTTCATCTCTTTTCCATCTCCCTTTCTACCCATGTCAAGCTTGCCTTTCAAACATTGTGAAGTGATTAGACATTAGAACAACAGAAGCCTACAACAGGTTGAAGTGTTTTTATTTTATTTTTTAAAACAGACGAAATCTACCTGGAGATAGACAGAAGGCACTAGATATTATGATCCCTCTAGTGGAGTGTGAAAGCCAAGTAGCTTCAGATATGTATTGTCTTGTGGGACGAATCTACAAAGACATTTTTCTGGATTCTGGATTTACAGACACTGAAAGTAGAGCCCAAGGAACATTGTGGTAAGTTGTCCTTTGCTAAAAGATTATATATTTTAGTTAAAATACTCCAACTAATTATTAGAGGGAAACATTGACTGCTAATTAGCTAGCTAAATTATAGAATCAGGGAATTTTAGAGATGGATGGGGCGTTTGTTCCAACTCCTTGGCATTGTGGAATACACAACTAAAACATTCCTGAAATGTGTCCACCCAACCTGTGTTTGAAGACCTCCAAATATGGAGAGTCCACCACTCTCCAAAGTATTCAATTGTCAAGCTAATTTTACATTTTAAAAGTCCATCTTAATATTTAGATGGAATCTCATTTTTTTGTCATTTGAATCTATTAATTTGTGTTCTAATCTCTTGAGCAGCAGAAAACAAGCTCACTTCATTTTCTTCATGACATCTGCTTTGGTATTTAAAGATAGCTATCGTGCCACTTCACAGTCTTCTCTTCTCCAAGCGAAATATATCCAGATCCCTAAGTCATTCCTCATATGTCTTGATTTCTAGTCCTTTGGTCATTTTGGTCACCCTTCTCTGTATATGTACCAGTTTGTCAATATTCTCATTGAACGGTGATGTCCAGAACTATATTCTAAATGAGATTTGACGAAAGCAGAATAGAGTGGTACTAATATTTTATCTTGATCAGGACACTGTGATTGTGTTGATGTAGGCCAGAAAAGCATTGGCACTTTTGTCACACCGTTGACTCATGTTTACTTTTCACGTGTACTGCTTTCAAGCTAGGTATCACCCATGCTTTGTTGTATTTCATTTTTCTTGCCTGGATTCATTACTTTACATTTATCCCTGCTGAAGCTCATTTTGGCCCAGTTATCCAATTTGTCAAGGACATTCTGAGTCCTCATCCTATCCTGTGGAATATTAGCTATCTCTCCTCATTTGGTTTCACTTGCAAATGTGATAAGCATGCTCTTTATTGTTTTGCTGTTACCTTCAGATAAGTAATTTAGGGCAGGACTGAGGGAATCAATGGATTAATTTATCTCACAAAAGCACTCCATAAGGGGTTTTAATATTTTAATGCCTTCTGCTGAGTCCATGTGCCTTTTGTTCCTGTCTTTTCTCATGATCTGCTGGTTTCCAATCTGAGTGAATTTGGCGAGTATGATAAGATCTCTATTAATACCAACACAAAAGTGACAAGTTAATTATTAGCTGCCAGATATTTCTCAGACATATTGCTGCTGCCATGCTAACTGTGTAAATCAGGAGCTTTGCCAGCAACCCAGGAGCGAGTCTGAGTGTTGGTCCAAAGCTGGCTGTGAAGGGGATTCTTCCAGTGCCAGCTTTTAAGATGAAGAAATGGCATTCGTGAAGTGAGCATTACCGTGGAAGCAGCCTATGGTAGAGAGGAAGGAATGGGCAAAGGAGGATGGTTGTTAGAGTCTAAAAAGAGTAAATGATTAAGTCAAATGACTAGCAGAATATTTAAATGTCCTTTAAATGAGAAAGAACTGCATTGGCCAAAACTCTGGATACATTTATATAGTTTGCTTAATATTTAAATCCATGACTGGAACTATACTTGCATTTTTACCTCTTATTTTGCTCCTCATTGAAATGGTTGCTGCTTGTTCTTGTTCACCCTCAAGTCATTTCCAACTTATGGCAACCCTAATCGATCCTGTCACAGGGTTTTCTTGGCAGGATTTGTTTAAAGGATGGTGGACTTTGCCTTCCTCTAATGTTAAAAGAATGTGACTTGCCCAAATTCACCTAGTGGGTCTCCAAGACAGAGCAGAGAGTTGAACCCTGGTTTCCAAACTAGTAGTCCAATGTTCAAATCACTGCACCATCCTAGGTTTGATGTGCCGCTCAGCAGCTCCTTCTTGCCTAGTGCCATCTCCTTACTGGTAGAGAAGGTTGGTGCTCCTAGTCACTCTGTCTGTCCAATTAGTAGTGATATGAAAAGGAATGACAATATCCACTTACATTGCCCTTTCCTGGATAGTAGCAGCTCCCTCCTCCCCCGGCTGCCAATGATGTGCCATTCAACAGAACAAGTTCTCATAAAACAGGGACAGAAGCTCCCCTCTTCCTTGGTTAGATATCTGTCTTCTTCAGTATCCAGGTATCCACAGTGTTGTACACTCTCAGAGTAGCTGAAGAGATAATAGCATGGTATTGGCAGAAATTAGGGAGAGTGGGGGGAGGTGTCTGTTTTTTGGCCATGGATGCTCAGCAGTACCAGTTTGGCAAACCAAAGTAATTGTAGCTCTGCTTGGGACTTTGTGCATGACCCCCCCCCCCCCCCCCAATTATGATACTTCCCTGAGTGGGAAGGCCCAAAATCTGCTTGTGCTTTGTATGCAGGTTTGTCAACAGATTTCCAAACTGCAGAAATAAAGGCAATTATATAATGTTGGGCCTGAGTTCCTGCTTTTCTCTTCTGGATGCTTTATTTAGCCTTTTGACTATGGGAATAAAGTATTTTTTTCTATGTAATAATGTTATATAAGGCATCAAAACAAAATAAACAAAAAAATTCTATCCCTACATTGCTGCGCACTCACACTCACCTACCCATCCTGCAGCCATCAGAATCTTGAGTAGTCTAGAAGAAGCTTTATAAAACAGTCTTGTAACAAATAAAAAGATGAAACTACCATTAAATTTGAAGCTACTATGGCTCAAAGAGCTTCCAGCCACAGGATTTCAGTCATTCTCAATTGTGCATTCCAGTTGTCTTCTGCAGACATGGATAGGAGCTTTCTGTTCATAATACCGCAATTGGGCAATATCTCCTTTCACCCTAAGGTGCTTCTGGAAGTGCTGGATGATGTTGGTAGCTCCCTATGGCAGTCAAAACAAGCAAGAGTAATTCAGTCTTCACCTTATTCTGGCTGGCTAAGCATTAACGTGTTTCACTTCACATTACTTTTGGTAGATGGCATTAGTATAGAGAGTCCTCTGCACAGAACCATATGTTGCCAACTGTCTAAACCTGGCAAAGCTGGAATGGTTCTTTGGGACAGCTATCTGTTCCTTTCCGCAGCATACCAGGCATCCAGCCAAGATTTGCTTCTGCAGCATGATATTGTTTTAGAAGACACAAAACGCTCCCAGTGCCTCTAAGTAAAAATGATGAGCAAAAACAATAGAGTTCCTAATATCACTATTTTGCATTTTGTGTGATGAAACGGATGGTGACTGTAGCAGGAAAACAGTGCAAATTCCACCCTAGGTAATAGAAAGGGCTCAAGAAGTGTTAATTGTGCCTATTCAAAATGCTAAGATTGTGATAGGTTTTGTTCCTATTTCATTCCCAACTGTTTGCCTAATGTTATCAAGCCACATTTTCCCCTTTCTGTCCCTCATTTCAAAGTAGCTTTCACATCAAAGAGAGCAAAGGTTGGAGGAGCACAGGGAATGTAATACACAGTCACCTTTAACCTTGTTTTGTAGTATGTAGACAAGGTTCAAGTGGAGGATCATGGCCATGTGCACAGTGTGGTATTTTCCCCCCATATAAACAAAATTTCTGTTTTCCACAGACTTACTCTGTCATTGTCTGCTTACACTAAATTTCTTTTGAATGATGTAAAAGCATAGACAATCAGGACAGGAGGGAAGCAAATGCTATTGAATACATACATGCCCCCCCCCCCCACCTCAATCACTCCATTGCTTTCTTTTGCTGGAACAACATAGGTATTTGCTGTGGCTGTTTTACTTTCTGTTTAGCAGAACTACTAGAATTAAAACTAGTAGCATACCAATATAGTATATTTGAATACCTGGAGAATTTCAAATATCCAAATGCTACTAAAAACCCAGGGTTGTAACCAATTGATATCTTCCATTGAAGTGAGAGACAGTATGAGGAAAGGGAGAAACAAACCCAAAATGCCTCCCTCCTTCTTAGTGGAAAGAAACACCCAGTGGATCTAATTGTCTCCCATCCATGGAAGGGATTCTGCTTCATATAGATTCCAGCAACAAAATTTAGTCTACACTCAACATAAGAAATAATGTATTTATTTATTCTTATTTACAGTATTTATATTCCACTCTTGCCACCCCGCAGGGGACTCAGGGTGGATTACAGTACACATATACATGGCAAACATTCAGTGCCACTTAGACATACAACATATATAGACAGACACAGAGGCAATTTAACATTCCAGCTTTCTGGCTTCATGAGGCTATGTGTGATTCTGGCCACAGGGGGAGCTGCTGCTTCACCATCCACTTGTGACACCGAGTATTTGATGGAGTACTTTCTCAATCTTACGCACGCTGCTGGAAGGTTTTATGGTGTCATAAATAGTTAAACTACCCTCCCTGAATAAAGCGATACCTACGTTTCCTACTTGACAGATACAACTGTCTTTCGGGCTGCATAGGTCGACAGCAAGCTAGACTATTAATGGTCGGGAGCTCACTCCAACCCGGGCTGGCTTCAAATTCATGACCTCTCAGTCAGTAGTGATTTAATGCAGCTGGTTACTAACTAGCTGCGCCACAGCCCGGTCCTATAACTGCCTCATTTCTATTACAGTAATGAAAATGCCTAGACATATACAGGAGTGAAGGATTCGATACCCATCACATGTAGCATTTGTTAATGAGGGAAGGAAAGATTTTTAATGAACATGTTGTTAAGTTTGAACATCCTTGTTCATGTTTTTATTGTTTCCTGTACAACACAATAAAAATAAATGATAAAATGGGAGAACACCCACATAACCACATTTGAAATAAAATATCAAAACACCAAATCATTCTTTGATTACAGAACTTCATCATAACATTCAACGACATATATAAATCAAATTACATTCCTATTTGCATGTTAGGTTGGGAAATGCAAATTAAATTCAATTAAAATATAAACCAGGATAATGTCTTCCTCATCTCTACTCTTGCCTACTTTTATACCTTATAGTTACCTCTTGTGTAAGTAAGTAAGTAAGTTATTAAAACTTTATTTATATCCTATCCCATCTCCCCGTGGGGACTCAGGGCGACTCACAACATAAAAGGCAAACATTCAGTGCCACGAAAAAACAACAATAAAATAAATTGTGTGTATGTCTGCCTTCAAGTTGCCTGTCAACTTACAGCAACCCAATGAATTTCACAGAGTTTTCTTAGGCAATAAATGTTTGGCAGTGTTTGGCCATTGCTTTCCTCTGAAATACATCTTACATCACCTGCCATTTGTGCATTCCTGCATTTCAAGGAGTTGGGCAGGATGGCACTTGTGGTCTCATAGGCTTGGAAGTCATTGAGTCTATGATTTCTGGGAAATCTCCCATCCATATACTAGCCAGACATGATCTTGCTTAGCCTCCAGGATTGCATGGGACCCAGTGCCACAGGTATGTTTTCATCAATTTCCAGGCATTTACAAGATCACAGAATATCATTAAGCAGCTTTTAAATTAAAATTTGTAAACTAGGCTGAAGCCAGCAGAGTGTTGATATGTGTGCCTTAATTTTTATATAAACGTAAAAAAGGAAAGAAACTGCAATGGTTATGTTACCAAAAACATGTATTATATGTTTTCATAGCGATGCTGTTAACAAGCTGGATATTTTTCACAATTGCATGAATGCATGAGATTCTGAAGGAAATGGTAGGTGGCTGCTGTAAATGTTGGCCTCCTAAAATAACCCAGCTGCCTGGATAGAAAACAGCACGATATTTTGTGTGAGAATTAGCGGGTCAAGTTAAGCAAACAGATGATCAGCATTAAGGTTTCCAAAAAAAGACATAATTGCTCCTTTGAAAAGCTGCCTTATTTTTTAAAATATAAACTTGTTTGTTCTTCTAGGTTCAAGAAGGCATTTGAGTCAGAACCAACGTTACAGTCAGGAATTAATTATGCAGTGCTTCTCTTGGCCGCTGGACACCAGTTTGATACCTCTTTTGAGCTACGGAAAGTTGGTAATTATAGCCTGTTGATGCACAGACAAATCAAGTCCAATGACAGCATTTTCAGCACCTTCTGTTTGACAGGAAACAATCTGGCAAATGTAGTCAGAGTTTTTTGTTAGTAACTTGGCACTTCAATTACCCTTTCCATTAAAAAGGTATTCCTTTAGCAACTACTTTGTTCCTACCAGTTGCAATCATCATGACTGTGAGGTCAGTTTTCAGGGTTAAATTTCTTTGAAAGAGATGATAAACAAAAGAGGACTCACAATAACATTGTGTTGAATTATAAATGGGGTGGTTCTCATTATATGAACAATTCTTATATTTGAGTCACCAAGGCTCATCTTTGGCCTTGTGAGGTCTTGCATGCCACTATTTATCAGCAACCTGTGACAAATCAGTAGTTACAGTTACTTTTTGTAAAATATTTATTTATCTCAAATGTAACTTGTACTTTGTGTAAAGGATTCTAGATCATTGGCTCCCAAACTTTTGTGCTCCAGTTGTTTTGGACTTCAACTTCCAGGAATCCCATCCAGCTTATCATCTGTTAGGAATTGTGGGAGCTGAAGTCCAAAATACTTGGAGGACTAAAGGAACTCTACACTAAGGATCCTTAAACCTTTGAAACAGAGGGCCAGTTCACAGTCTCTGAGACTGTTGAGGGGCTGGACTATTGTTTGAAAAAACATGAACGAATTCCTATGCACACTCCACATATCTTATTTGTAATGCAAAAAAGCATGAATGAACAATGCAGTATTCAAAATGAGGAACATAAACTTATCAGTATTTCAGTGGAAAGTGTGGGCCTGCTTTTGACTGATGAGATAATCAAGGAATTAGAGTTGCTGTGTGCATTCACGTTTTTTCAGCGTAAGTCAAAAGTTTAGGGCAGGGGCTGGGTAAATGACCTCAGAGGGTCACATCTGGCCCGTGGACCTTAGTTTGGAGACACCTGCTCTAGAGAAACTAGTAGAACTGTTTTCTATATTTTTAATGTGCTCTAGGCCACTGCTTCTTAAACTGTGGGTCCTGACCCCAAATGGGGTCCCCTTAACTCAATTTTGGGGTCCTGAAAAAATTGATTAAATTTACCAAATTTAGTAAAAGTTTTCTGAATTCCACCTAGTGGCTGTTTTAGACATTTACATTAATCTGTTTATGGTGGACTCTGCAGAATATCCCTTTCCTTCATAAAAAGGAAAATCAGCCAGTTTAGCAAGCTTTGCCAATGCTGATTAGTTATCAGTAAATGTTTGATTTTTATACCTATGTTATATATTTCAGGCTGAAAGGCTCACAATTGCAAAATTTTGCTCTAGTCTACAGACGTCTACAGAAACTAGAATGGCCATTTTTATATGGATAGTTTGTTACATCACCACTCATTTTTATGGTTTTCCCTCTGAAGAGTTGGTGAAATAAATGGTTATTCTGTAGTGGTAACTGGACAGTTCTTTGTAGGGTATGTTACATTTATTACCAGTTTTGATAAGATTCCTCATATATTTCTGAACCTGAGGACGAAAATGAGACTTTGTACAAATTTAGTCAGTGGATCCATCAATGGGACAGGTTAGCCACAATACACTTATTCCCCATTGATTTCAGAGGATTTGTTCTAAAGATAAAGGTAAAGGTTTCTCCTTGACATTAAGTCTAGTTATGTCCAACTATGGGGGGTGGTGCTCATCTCCATTTCTAAGTTGAAGAGCTGGCGTTGTCCGTAGACACCTCCAAGATCATGTGGCCAACATGACTGCATGGAGTGCCGTTACCTTCCCACTAGAGTGGTACTTATTGATCTACTCACATTTGCATGTTTTTGAATTGCTAGGTTGGCAAAAGCTGGGGCTAACAGTGGGAGCTCAATTAATTGATCAGGATTAAAAATTCACAATTCCCTGACAAGCGGTTTCTGTTGGGGCTGAGTTATGTTTTGACACTGGTGGGTTTAAGCAGACCACAGAATATTTCAGTTCATATAAATGACACTCAGAATTCTAGGTGGCAAGATTAGTGCTGTCCTCTTCATCTTGTTTGCCAGTAGTAGTGATCCAGAATCAAGCAACGTTAAATATTAATTTTTATTCCCTGGCACCCAAATATTATAAGAGACTGGTTTTTAAATAAGCATTGTAGCAGGGGATAAGGGCGTGGGGAGAGAAGAAAACCATTTGTCAGTTGGAAAAAGCTTAAGATGTACTAATTTAAGTCAGGCTTAAGTGTGCATCAACATGAAGCAGCTGTCGTCCAATGCACTTTTTTCCTTTCTGTCTTGTTTCTTTAGGAGTAAAGATAAGCAGCCTCCTTGGGAAAAAGGGAAACTTGGAGAAATTACAGAGTTACTGGGAAGTGGGCTTCTTTCTGGGAGCCAGTGTCCTAGCAAATGACCATACAAGAGTGATCCAGGCTTCTGAAAAACTGTTCAAATTGAAGACACCAGCATGGTAAAGCACCACATTCTCATACCATCAATGTATATTTCATGAAATGACTGTAAATATGTAGATAATTGTATGTATACAACATTGCAGAAGTGGTCAACTATAAGAGGACCAATTTTCTCCAAACCCCATTTTCCTCTCTACATTCCCTCTCTAAATAGCAACAGAAAGTGGCCTCTTCCTCTTCCCATTTTGAGAGGGACCACAAAAGGAAAATGGAAGTATTAAACATAGTTCAGGGTTCTAAGTTGTTTGTGCAGGTGAGTCAGGGAGATGATATGTGTATTTCCTGCATGTTGAGGGTCTTTTCCCATAGTTTGGGTGCAAAAAATGCCAGAAACATGTGGGTTAGGAGCGTGGACAAAGGTGGAAGGTTGGGATTGTATTTGGCCTTTGGGGCTGCACTTTACCCACCACTATTGTTATGATCTTAGCATTTAAAAAAAGAAAACTGAACAACACTTGGGCAAATTAACAAAAGTTCCTTTTGTTAGGAAGCTTTTGAGTGCCCAGATGATTTTTACGAAGACTCATGGCTTTGTTTTGTGTTTTCACAAACTCTTTTGAAGGAATTTCGCAGTCTAAAAATAGGCTCCAAAGCTAGTGAAGAGACAGGGAGGACCAAACTTTAACAGGAAGCCTGGCTGTCATCTTTTTCCACTAGATTATAGCTAAAAGCCCGAAATAATGGACTTTGGCTTTGACCACAGTATTTAAAGAAAGGAGTGGTCTTTCTCTAAATGCACAAAAATAATACATCATAAAAAAGAGGGTTGTGAGTGGGAGGCATTAATTTGTAGGACAGAGTCCTATTTAAAATCAGTTAGGGTTTAAGAGATACATTTCTTTGGATATCGTCTTTTTCTTGGACTTTAAGAATAGTAGGTAGAATCTGTAGAAAACTCTTGTTCTTGCTTGAAAAAAAGAGGCAATCCTGAGTGCCAAAACTAGGACTTTTAGATCTGGATAGTAAGCCAATATCAGAGAAGGAATCAGAATAAGATGAGAGCAATAGATAGTGAAATCTATGGTATGTAATAGCTGTGCTTTTCAGGGAGTCATTTTTCTTAAAAATGTAATAATAGTTATGATAGCTGTGCTTCTCCAGGAGTCATTTTCCTTAAAAATGCAAGGAAGCTGGAGTGCAAGTAGAAATGCCAAGAAAATGTGATTGATGCTGATCATCCTTGGTTGAAAACCTAATTAAGACAGCGTATTGGGTAGGAAATTGCCAGGATAGTGTGGTGGAAAATGAGTGAACAGTTTTTGTATCCTGTTTGTACCCTGTACCCTGTTTGTATCCTGTTGCTCTCCTACTGGTCCTAATGGTCCTATAGAATGCAGGGGAAAATCATACCTATAATAGTGGCTAATTGAGATAATGTGTTTATTGATTGTACTATCTGTCTCTCATGCCCAGGTACTGTGCTGCAGCTGCTTAGTGCTCTGTGTCTAAACACAGCACTAGTTGTGTTGACCTAAACTGGGATCTGTCATATTGCATTGCATGTTCTTTTTGGGTGCCAGGATACATCAAAATGAGATGTATCCTTCAAGAAACTTAAATCAGATTATATGGTTTTCCTGGTCCTCATTTTATATACATGTGAACTATGTTAGGGTGAGGCCCTCCGTTATCCTTGTCTTACTCTTTCGCCACTACAGCATACTGTACTTAGGTTTGGGCTATGAATATTTATGGAAGGACAGCATGTCATCAAACAAATGGATTTTCTGGATTTGTTGTAGTCCAGCCTTTGATTGTGCCTGTACTTGATCTCACTGGGGATTCTAAGCCTGTTAGGCAGCCTGATGATGACAGTGGGGATTCTGGGCCTGCAGATCAGCAAGAGAATCAGGAGAGTTTAAGCTCTGACAATGAGAGTATTCTGTCCGAGGAAGGCAGTTCTCTGGAGATGCAAGGTCAGAGGCAGAAGTGAGCTCAGGGGAGGAAGATGCAAGGGAGGAAGATATTACTCCAGATGGATGAACTAATGAGCAGCAGTAAGATAGAAGATCAATGTTCCGTCAGCATAGGATATCTCACAAAGCAGTGCGAAGATCAGCTCACTCATTGACAAAGAAGCCTTTATCAGTTTTGGAAGGGCAACGTTGAGTTTTCTGTCTATATTAGAAAGGCCAGCAGAGTATTTCCTCAGTCCAGACAATATTGATGTTGGAGCCAATTCAAGTCTTCCACGGGATGTTTAATTCCAGATTTCCTTGTGTTCACACTTCCTGATTGCATGTTTCATGTTTCATATTTCTACGATCTGTTCTTGTGTTGAATGTTTGGACTTTACCTCCTTTTGTATTCCTGGTTTTTAATGCATTTTATGTACTTTAAACTCTGAGGATTATTCCTGTTTTTTGGACATTGATTTTTACACTATTTTGCTAGATTGCGTTATATATATATTCTTCAATAAACTGCTTTGCTATTTTATCTGGAACTGAATTGTGTCTTAAGTATAGAGCAAATTGAAGTTGAATCCAGATAAGATAGAGGTCCTTCTGGTCAGTCGCAAGGCTGAGCGGGGTATAGGGTTACAGCCTGTGCTGGACGGGGTTACACTCCCCTTGAAGGGACAGGTTTGCAGCTTGAGAGTTATCCTGGACTCATCACTGAGCCTGGAATCCCAGGTTACGGCCATGGCCAGGAGAGCTTTGTCACAAGAAAAACTTGTGCACCAGCTGCACCCGTACCTTGGGAAGCCAGACTTGGCCACGATGGTCCATGCTCTCATTACATCCAGGATAGATTACTGCAATGCACTCTATGCGGAGTTGTCTTTGAAGACTGTTTGGAAGCTACAAATAGTCCAACAAGAGGCAGCCAGGTTAATAACTGGGGCGGCATACAGGGAGCATACAACTCCCATGTTGCGCCAGCTCCACTGGCTGCCAGTTTGCTGCAGGGCACAATTCAAAGTACTGGCTTTGACCTATAAAGCCTTAAATGGCCCGGGCCCAATTTACTTGTCCAAACACATCTCCCCCTATGAGCCATTGCGGAGATTAAGATCCTCCGAGGAGGCCCTGCTCTCCATCCCACCAGTGTCACAGGTGCGATTGGTGGGGATTTACCCCCCCCCCCCAGTATGGCACTCCCTTCCTGGTGAGATCAGATCGGCTGCCTCCCTCCTGTCCTTCAGAAGGATGGTAAAAACTTGGCTGTGGGACCAAGCTTTTGGGACAGTGCAATAAGCAGTGATAGGAAAGGCCAATTAGATTACATGCAGATGATCAAGACTGTTTTAAACGGTGTATTTTAATGTTAAGACGAATGTTTTTAATGTTTAATGAATATAATGAATTCATACCCCAGCATTGAATGTTTGCCATTTGTATGTTGTGCTTTATCCTGAGTCTCCTTTGGGGTGAGAAGGGCAGAATATAAATGTTTTAAATAAATAAATAAATAATAAATATAGGTTATTCCCAGTCTTGGACCCTAACCCTAACCCTTGGAGATATAAGCCTGGGGACAGGCATATAGAGAGAGAGTTTGAGCAGGAAACCCCAAGCCATTAAGGACTTTGAATGTCAGCAGCAGAATCTTGAATTCAGACCAGAAGCAAATGACAACTGTTGCAGCTCCATTAACATCAGCATTATGCATTTTCTATATAGTACACTCCAGACATCAGTCCTGCTGCTTCATTTTGCACAAGGTCTGCCTCCATGTCATCTCTTATGTAGAATACTTTCAGAGTAGGCTGGCTGAAATCCAGAGTAGTCTCTTGAAGTAGCTGATACTCTCTGTTCTTTAGAAAGCTTAGAATGGCTTCCTTAAAAACAAGTTTCTATATACACACATATAGCTCAGTTAACAAAGTAGATGTGTTTCTAGACGTTGTGTTTTTAATGGAAAATTGGTACCTGAGGCTAAAATGATAAAGGGGAGAATAGGGATTGATTCCTTTATCACTCACAAAAAAATAGTTCAACATATTTCAGCAAAGGTTTTGTTCAAAGCTTACAATATGCTCGTGTGTAATAAAACAGGTAAGGTCAGGTAAGGATTGTTTAAGTAAACTTTTATTAAATAAACGTCAAAATTTCTTTTGAAATATATCCAAGGACAGTTCTTTCACCAGTCTCCACTTTTGTAATGGTTTCCATTTTGATCAGCATACTAATAAGTCTCCTTTTTTTAATATGCTAGAAAGAGCTCATGTGCACTTTCCCATTTTCTCTCAATTGTAATGTTTCCACAGTCTGAGTAAGAGATTCTGGGGAAAACTGCTATTTACCTGACTTCACAACTAAAATAGGACAGCTACAGCAGAATCTCATTCTTTCCCAAGTTTACTGTGGAGGCACTGCTACGAACAGATGCTGAATATCTGTGAAACTCCAGCCTTCCTTCACCATCTTCTCAATGCCAATACTGCAACAAAAAAAGCCTTCAGGAAATAGAAAATAAGAAAGAAAAGCTCTGTTAAAAAGCTTTTTAGTCAGAGGCTTTGTTAAATGTAGCATCAGGCTTTGTAAACATTTTTGAGATAGATGCAATATGCAGCAATTGCTTTGTCCTAATATCAATAATGTTACCACATTAATTTTCCAGATTCTTGCATTCTTTTATCTGAATTTATTCTTATTTTCGCTTTATAAAATGGCAGGAGCCCCTGGTGGCGCAGTGGGTTAAAGCACTGAGCTGCTGAACTTGTTGACCGAAAGGTCGCAGGTTCAAATCTGGGGAGCAGGGTGAGCTCCCGCTGTCAGCCCCAGCTTCTGCCAACCTAGCAGTTCAAAAACATGCAAAAGTGAGTAGATCAATAGGTACCGCTCCGGCGGAAAGGTAATGGCGCTCCATGTAGTCATGCTGGCCACATGACCTTGGAGGTGTCTATGGACAACGGTGACTCTTCAGCTTAGAAATGGAGATGAGCACCAACCCCCAGAGTCAGACACGACTGGACTTAATGTCAGGGGGAAATCTTTACCTTTATCTAAAATGGCAATGAAAGGTGCAATAAGTCGTTTCTTTCTCTGCT